GTGCGGGGCAATGTCTACGTCTTCTGTTAATCCTTAGCCAGCGGGCACATAAGGCTGTGCCATATGCCACTAGCCGGTAGCCCCCGTCTTCCCTGTCTACAGAGAACTGTGGAGGATCAAATTTTCTCACCTTCTGTCTCATTCACCCCTCTTCATCAAAATCCCCCCCCCCCCTTCATTTCACTCTCTTCATTCAAATCTTCCCTATATTTGTTCTTTGGCAGCTTTTCGTCTTTTTTTAAATTTGCATTTAGCTGACGGTCATCAGGCCAGCTTACACTAAAAGTGCAACAGCTGACAAAGCTTATATGTGTAGACTGTCAACATCACACACATCTTAGTTATCGAGGAACTCGAGGATGAAAGCTGCAGCGGCCTGACAAAGGCTATAACAAGAACACCTTTGTCTCTATCACGGTCATGTGCTGTGTGAAGAGGCGCTGTTTGAAGAAATTGGAGTCAGTTTGAAAATGTGAAATCCGTAACCTCAGCTCACTCTCCTCGCTGTCACGTCAAGAGAAGTCCCAGATGAATAAAAAAGAAGTTGGCAGATAAATGTCAGTGTTTTTTTGTTTTATTTTTCAGCGAGCTTGGTTGGAGATCAGTGGAGAGCTTCAGTCAAGATAAAGACGTGCAATGTTTCATGTCTTCCTGACTGTCTTATTTTATGTTCGGCAATCTATTTCCGTCCCATACCTGTCTGAGGCTCGCCTACACTTTCTCGACTGAAACATAAAAGCGATGCACCAAGCCCGTTTTAAGAGGGCCCATAAGACACCAGGGGTTCTAGGTGAGACTATAACTTGTACTAAAACAGCTGCAGCCTCAGTTTTTGCACCTCCTCTTAGGAAGATGTACGTTTTACACCCTCCACCCTCTCTTGTCTGCAGGGGCGAAAGTCAAATATTGGTGGGAGATCAAGAGATGGGGCTGGGGAGTTTTAGCGGAAAAAGAAGGCGCTCTTTAAAGACACCCGCAGGGCTGTGCACGCCGGGTAGCTTTCTCTTCAGTTGCATCACTGGCATAAAGGGAGAGTCCCCAGGTTAAGAACGAGCCTGAGCCAGATGGGAGAGAGTGCGGGAGTGAAGGCGGCAGACAGAGGGGAAGGATATAGAGAATGGCAAAAAAGCACAGGCCCTGCAGTAAGCTATTCCAAGCGCCTTTGTGGAGTTGCCATTTTTTTCATTCTACCCCCCCCCACTCTCCTTTGAGGGGATTTTCTATACCCTCTCCCTCTCTCTTTCTGTGTCCCCATTTCTTCCTCTCTTTCTTTTTCTTTTTTCATTTTATGATGTTCTTTTTTTCCCCCTGTGTGCCTTGGTTTTCTTCAGGCGCTGTGGTTCTTTTTTATCGTGCCAAGTTTGTTGAGCCAGGGCTTCGTCTCTCTCTTCCTCTTTTTCTCTCTTTCTCCCTCTCTCCTTCTCTCTCTCACTCTTTTTCTCTCTATCTCTCTCTGGCCGTCTGTATCTCACTTCTGTATTTTTTCTTTACTTTCATTCCAGTCAAACTCCTACTGTCTCGCTCTCATCTATTTCCACTGACTTCTCTCCCTTAGCCCAATTTCACTCATGGTTTTTGCCTCTCGTCTTCGCTGCAGCCTCTCTCCTTCCTGCATCTCAGTCGCTTTGATCAAGAGCCAGTGCACAGTTTCTCTTTCCCTCCTCTACTCCTCCTACTCTCTTTGTGTGTATTCTGACATCTTTTCCCCCCCTAAGCAACTTTAAAAACAACGTTCTCACTCGATTGTTGTGACGCTCCCGGGCTCATGAATCTATGGCGTTGTTACTTTTTGCACTTCTCAGACCAGTGTGTGCGTATCACACATCACCAGCTTCATTTGAAAATGCAATTTTGTGTACGAACGGGTTGTGTTGCCTCAACTTTTTTTAGTCAGCTCCTATTCTTAACAATCTCTCCAGTCCACACTCTCAACATGTGGGCGACAGGACTGTTTGCTAAATCTCTTCTTCTTTGTCCTCTTTGGCGTTGCCAAACAATAACACTCTGGAACAACATCTGGTCAGAACCAGTGATGAACACAGTGGTTCTCTTTTTGGTTCCCTGCTGCTGCTTGTGATCACCTGCACTGTTCTTTAATAAAGCCATGCAGGTGCTGTGCAGGTGGACAATCTGTTACACAGCTGAGTTTACGAGCAGGCTTTGGATGAAGATGTCAGTTAAAGTGTGTATTTGCTCAAATGGACACTGCAAACAGTTAAGTGCTAAGAGCGAATAAATATATCAAAATGTACTTGGTGTTTTTGTCACACCGTTTGGATCTATATTCCAGACGTCACCCGACAGGAGTTTAAATTGGGCTCCCAAACATGACATCTGTACATCAGTATATATGAGAACAGTTGGCTTTGTTAGAGCTGTAAAAGAAACCAAACTTGCATTAAAGCACTTACATGAAGTTGAGGTTTGTCAACTAAATATCTATTCATATTGTCCCAGGGTCAGCAACATGCAGCTCTTTAGCCTCATTCCAATGGGTTACCTTTGGCTTCACTTGCGAAGATGTGAAGCCTATACAACAGGAAAAAACTATTCTAACATCTTGTCAACTAAAATGTAGCCTACCTGTACGGCCTGACACTGGTTGCTGAACCTTAGCCTAAATAGTGGTGGCTAGTCTTGAGTTTTCCTTATAAGGTAAGCCCTTAGAGGCTGTGATTTGGGGATATACTACATTTTTTTGGAATCAATGGCTAGCCTTTGTTAAGGCCTGTCAGCCTTGTCTTCTTCCCATAATACCATTCTGAGAATCTTTCTTGTTTGTCACAATCTGCTGGACTGGATCAGTGGATCTGGCCATGGCTCATTTTCAATGTCAATAATCCTTTCCAAGTCACAACATGTGAACGGGAAGAATTTAAATAAAACTGCAGCTGAAAGTATTGGTAAAAAGTTGGACTCAAGCAGTTACAGTTCTTTAGTTCTCCAACATCCAGCTGAAGTTAATGATAGCAGGATGATGAAAACAGTGACAACATGTGTGTTTGATTGGCAGCTTTGCCAAACACTCAATCCCAACCCCACTGTTTCATATGTATAACACATTTAGTGTATTAGATGGAATTAGTGTGCGTTGAATGACTGAGACAGCACCAAGTAGTAGAGAAGACAAAGCAGACTTTATGGTTCATGTCATAATAAGTTTATATGTAATCATTTTGAAATGCTGTAATAGAGTGTTTGTCATGTGGCAACACACACACACACACACACCCACACACACACACACACACACACACATGCACACGTGTTAATGCTTGTATCGTCCATGTCCATTAGTGAGAACCACGTGGAGTTGTGCGAGAACACAGGCAGGTGAAATCCATTTCAGTCCATTAGAAACTTAAAGCGTAAAAGAGGTGGAGACAAAGAGCCATGAGCTCCCAGCCTTCGGTCCTGTGAGGACACCTTTGAGCCAGCCCCTTGTCCTTGTGATGTCCCACCCAGCAGAAACACATATTCACCCCCCCCATTTCAGCTCTTTTAAATTTAATCATGTTTTGGGCTGCGGCTACAGAGCAACAATTTTTGTGAAACCTTTGATCGCCATCGCTCCTTTCCAGGGAATAGATGGAGAATTTTTTTCACAATTGACTAATTACATTTATTATTCCTGCAGTGTCGGCAGGCAAATCAATATGAAATCAAATGAATATCTCTCCTCCGCTGCCCTTACCCCCAAAAAAGAGAGAAAACTGAGACTCGGCACTGAAGTGTCATCAGTCATCTGAAAAATCTAGAGTTGCTTGGTAGCCAACAAACCATGTGGGGAAATGAATGAGTAATGTTCTCCGGCACCTCCGCAGCTATTTTGCTCAGTGCCCTTGAGCAAGTCACTTAACCTCGTACTGCTCCAGTGGAGCAACAACGGAGGTGAGCAACAGCAGATGCTGGACTTTTTTTCCCCCAGAAGATATATGCAGTTGGAATATGACTCATTTTATTAGAGACTTTGTTGTTTCGAAACTTTGTTGCAAATTTTTTTAAATGTCATTCATCTTCTGTGTAAGCAGAGCAAAGCTGAAAAACACCCAGTGGGTACTTTCTATCAAGGGTTTTAAGACTCAGAAAGTGTGAGTCATCAGAGCTGTCTGGTTATCACTCTTTCATATTTCTGACCAGATTGTGATTGAAATGCATCATTGAAGAATATGACATTAACCACGTCCAGTTGAGCTCTTCCCACTTTAAAACAGTGCGAGCAATACAACGAAAAAGAAATCATGTAAAATAACCCAAACTGCTTAAACTCTGCCAAAATGATGTTCCCATGAATGATCTCATTACTTGGAGTGGAGTGTGAGATTTTTTGTTCTACGTCTTTTGAAAGTGACATTTTCAGCTGTTTGTGAAGGTATTTTTGTTCAACAGCTACCAGCTGTACATGTAGAGCTCCAAACTATTTTATAAACATGTTAGAATGCCAAATGTGCAGTACGATTTAGTATCCTGTCTCTCTTATTTCCAGAATGATTTGATTACTGTGTGTTTATACTATACTTACTCTTTGGGGATTTCTTTTTCATTGTATTTCCCCTCACATATTAATATCTTACCTTTAATCTATAATCTAATCAGTTTAAATGTAAGTTACAGCCCCAAACTTTTCTTTGCTCTAACTGCATCAACAAAGCTCTGCTCAAAAATTGAAATTCATTTTTCACAGTCAGAAATTATGTTAAGTAGCTTATGTTGTGCACAGCAATCATTGCTCTGCAGCTGTTTCATTAAATGAGATTTTTATCACATTGTTAGATGGTAGATATTCTCTCTTTAGAATTATATTCACAAATCTGCACCTGGTGTGGACTCTAACGTCCGATTTTTAACATCATCAATATCATTAAAGAACTACACTTGATAAACAAATTGTGTAAGATGTACATGATGAGGCACTTAGCAGTGGTAAACCAATCAAGTGCATGACATCCAATGCTCCTTTTCTCACCTGCTTCTCTGTTTGTTATCTCCCCTCTCTGCAGTGCAACAACGACTATGCCCCGGTGTGTGGCTCCAACAATCAGAACTACCAGAACGAGTGTTTCCTGCGCAGGGATGCCTGCAAGCAACAGTCTGAAGTACTCATTATGTCAGAAGGGGCCTGTCCTGCTGGTGTGTATATTTACAGTGCGGCGCCTACACAGATATATCCACTAACGCACACATTCACACAGACACACAGGAGCACTTATAGTGACACTCCTCTGCAGCTCGGTACATTGCACAGACCTTAGATTTACTAATAGTTGAGGCAACATGCACGTTTGGTGCACAGTTGGGTAAGCGAGTCAAGGATAGAAGCAGTACGTCGGGCTAAAGGCTGCTTTAAATGTAAACCTAATCAAGTTTCACATTATACACTGCTCAAAAAATGAATGGAACACTTAATCATCAGTTACACCTTAGGGATATCAATCTGTGACAACAGGTGGAATAGAGAGGCCAAATCAAGACAACATCCCAAAAGGGAATGGTTTTACATGTGGAGGCCACAGACAATTGCTCTCAGGTACCTGCAGCCCAATCAGGTTGCACAGGTAGTCCAGCCCCTCCAGGCTGGCACATCCATACGTGCATCAACTCAGCAGCAGGACCTGTATCTGCTCCTTTATGCAAGGACGAACAGGAGGAGCACAGAGTCCTACTAAATGACCTTCAGCAGTTTACTGGTGTGCATGTTTCTGACCAAACTGTCAGAAACAGACTCCATGAAGGTGGCATGAGGGCCCAACATCCTCTAGTGGGAACTTTACTCACAGCCCAGATCCGTGCAGCTCGACTGGTATTCGCCAGAGAACACCAGAATTGGCAGGTCCACCACTGGCTTCCAATTCTCTTCACAGATGAGAGCCAGTTCACACTGAGCACATGTGACAGGTGCGAAAGAGTCTGGAGAAGCTGTGGTGAACGTTATGCTGCCTGTAACATCTTCAAGCATCATTGGTTTGGCGGTTGGTCAGTGATGGTCTGGGGAGGCATATCCTTGGAGGGTTGCACAGACCTCCTTGTCATAGCCAATGGTACCTTGTTGTTAGGTACCGGGATGAAGTCGTCAGAGAGATTGCCAGACCTAATGCTGGTGCAGTGGACCGTCCTCTTTGTGGCCAGAGTGTGTGGATGACAAAGACATTGATGCCATTGACTGGCCCTCACGTTCCCCTGAACTAAATCCATTTGAGCACCTATGGGATGTTATGTATCAGTGAATCCATGAGTTCACTGATGCCCTGATCCAGATCTGGGATGTAATCCCTCAGGACACCATCCACCAACTCATCAGGAGCCTGCCCAGACATTGTCAGGAGTGCATACAGACACCCAGAGTCCATATACACCACTGAGCTAGTGAGTAACATTATGAGTTGCTGTGATGAAATTTACACAAGTTGGATCATCCTGTGATTTTAATTTTTTACTTAGATTTTCGGAGTGGTTTTGAATTCAGCCCTCAAAGGGTTGATGATTTTGGTTTCCATTGATTGTTGTTAGATAATTTTGTTCTCAACAAATTGTACAATGAACATCAGTAAAGATTTTCAACTTGGATCATTTGTTCATCAATTTATGAATTGGGATTTAAGTGTTCTGTGCACAGTATATGCAAATACTTGCAGTAGGTGAGATTCAGTAATTACTGAGTGATGCATTATTTCAAAAGAATTACAGAAAAGGTATGATGAAAAAATCACTCGAGGTGACAGACTGATGTAATTTCCCAACGCTTTATGTAAGAAGCACTACTACACTGACAGTGACAGGTCTTTGCACTGAACACATAAAGATTTCATCATAGCTGCACAAGCTCCTCACAAAAAAGTGAGCACAGCAAGGATGAGTGTTAAACGAGTTAACTATACACTTATTTAAAACCAGTGTGTTAAACAGAAGGCGAAAGAAGGTGTGACAGCTGTGACCTTTCATTATGTAATGCTTAAATAATGTCAAAAGGCATAAAATGTTAATAATTTTGCTTGTGCCAAACTGTCATAGGTAGTTACTGTAACAATGTTGCCATGAGGCATGCTCAGCAAAGCAGAACAATCAAATGACTGAGTCACACATTGTCTTGACGGCCGTTCTTTTTTTTCTGGTTTGTGTAGATATTTTTTCCTCTTTTATCTTCTGTAAAGAGTATTTGAAAGATAACCTGAATTAATGGGTCCAGTGAACCTACATGTCGTTTTTTCAAGTACTGTATGAGTCATTTCTACATGCAAAGAATATATTTCGAAATTCTGTACTTTACATTCATAAACAGTAGAGGATGTTCAATTACTGACTTTATCACTTTTTTTTACATTAATGGTTAAACTGACTTGTTTATTATAATCAAATACATAAAAAATACAAAGTAAATCTGCAGTTACAAGATGTAAATACAAGATATAAAAGAACATACATATAGGTCTTCAAAGTCAATTTCAACTTAATTGTGTTATGTACAGAACATAGATGGGATTTAGATGCAGTTTGCCTCTAATCTCTGGTGTAAGCACATTAGTAGATGAAGCATATAAGTACACAACATAAAAAAGTAGTCAAGTGAAAAGTATCCAGTCAAAAGGCACAGAGTAGATAAGATGTGAGTAATGCAAACCAGAATAAGATTAAGAAGTGCAAAATATGTAATGTTAATCCACAGAATGAGTAGAATAGCTGTACAAAATACTAGCAGATGTAATAATAGATAATAGTAAAAAAAGATAACAGGTGAAATGACTACAAAAGGTGACTGGTGCATATATCCACTTGTTCAGCTTGGTTGCTTGTATTTTCTCCTCTTGATGCTGATAGATGCTGTTAAGCATCAATGAAGAATGGTTCAGTTTTCATTTATTGTTGCATTGCATCCGAACATTCATCTCACCGCAGTTGTTGCTTTCCATTCAAGTGAAAGATGAAAGAAAGGCCTTCAACACAATTACTTTGTCTATGTGATGATTGCATTGTCTATCTACTCAATAGTGTGTTATTTGAGTCAACACACAAATTTGTATTTTGTCATCATATCCAGTGGAATCTTTCCCATTTGTTGCTGCATATTACCAAGTGAATGACAGAACGTAAACACAATTAACTTGTGGTATAATAATGGCTCCGCGTCTGGACCTGATAAATGTGCAATACAGCCAACAACAATCAACAGGTGAAGTGCCAAAGTGACCTGGGTTTCTGCGGCAGAGGCTTCAAAATGCTGGATTTCAGTGACTGTGATGCATAAATCCAGCTGTGGTATGGTTGTGGTAGAAATGGCTACCGATTCTGCTGATTCTGGTCAGCCTTCATAGCTTCAAAATAAGAATAAACTCTGTCTTTTTAATCATCGCCAAGTGGCCATGGTACATGCAGGATAATAACTTTGCGGTAATAAGAAATAAAATACTCCACAGAGGCAAAGCCCCTCTCCTCACTGTGAAGCAGTGATTAGTTTTACACTTGTTTTTATCTTGTTATACTTCCAACAATGCCATGGCTTGTTAGATTATCCTGAATATGTAGGGAATGCCCTTTTTTTTGACAAACACCTTGCTTCCTTTGTTCTATACCCTTTCCCTTGATGACATTGACTATTGTTTCCATCCCACCATTGGCTGAATAGAGGGAGCACTCTGTGTAATTATCTAACATAATTGGGATTACTGTTTGCTGATATAGTTTGGTGTTTAAGCTGCTGAGTGGGCGTCTTCAGTCGGAAAAGGTCAAGCACTTCATTAGGGTTGTGGTGGAGACCAGTAGTGCTACATGCAGTATGCACTAGCAAAGATTCCTGGTCATGAAAGCTTCTATAGGTATTAGTGGAAATAGGATCCTCACACCATTAATGTTTCCATCTCATTGACTGACTAGAATCTTTGACCGCTTTGATTAAGACAAGAAAACACGTTATCCAGGAGCTTTACTTGTAACGCCCTAGAAGGACGAAAAAAAACAAAAGACACAATGCAAGATTCAGTCTCAGCTGCCCCTACAGGTGGGATGTGTCATGTGCTGTCGTAAATAAAAGTTGCAGCCTGAGCCCCCCCATGCACACAGCTGTTCACATGTGCATTACTTTGAATATTTGTTTGCGCCTTCACTGCCCTCAACTCAACTAGAACCGTAGCATACAGGTTAACAAGCTAACACAGCAAGCAGGTAGCCTAGGCAGTTATCTATGTCCTGGCATCATCTGTGTCAAATCATATGGGATTCTTTGGCTAATTCACTTAACCTCTAATGGGTTTACCTGGCTTCTGATGAGAAAATACTAGGGAGCTCATTGTCTCTTATGTCTAGCTGCCGCTCTGCTTATTGGTGTGTGACGTATGCCGTAAAGCAGGTTGTAATGTACCAGCTAGTACACCAAAATAGCAAAGTACAGTTCCAGGCCTCCAGGGGACGCTGTGGCAATAACAGACTGTTCTCCCAATATAATATATATAAGTTTGTGTACCATTAAAAATGATTTTGAAGCTCATATTTTAGCTTAAACACTACAAAGTGTTGCTTTAACTGTATTCCTTTTCTATAATTCTGTAACTTGTTATAGTAATAGCAGTCCGTGAAATTTACACACATCCCACATTTATTCTATGCTTTATATTTCATCAGAACATGTAATTTGGTTTGGCCCATGTTTAATGTTTAATCCTATGATAACGAATCCAAATGGAGGAGCATATACTTTATAAAAAGCATTCACACTAATAAAGGAATCTTCCAATTAGTGTGTGATGTCCACAGGCTGTTTTTTTAGCCTACGCGAGTCACTGGAAAAGCCAAGACAGCATTGCTGGCTCAGTTGAGCAGGCGCTGACTCAGTTACCTCCACTGACAGGCAGCCAGCAGAAGTCCATTAAAAGACCCTTGAATGGGCACAGCTGAGCAGAGGGAACATGTGGAGACTGAGGTGGAAATGTTACCACAGTAACAGTGGCGGTGTTTGTTTGCCAGTCAGCGGGGCCATGCAAAGTCACATGAAATGTCCAGCCTCACTCTGAATTGCTCGCTTGTGGGCTGTGTGTACAGCCCTGTATACAAAACATGTGATAGTCCAAGCCAGTGCTTGTGTGATATGGATTTGTTTATCTTTTTAAACAGCGGAGAAATAAAGAGCCCTTTCTTTCATATAA